CCATATAACAGTACTTTTCATATCTGGAGGCTTTGGGCCACAAATTACCATTTTGGTCAGATAGTCTATGTTAGCAACATGATTTGCAGTGAATGCCTTTTCTGTTGTGTATGACGGGTGGGATAATAGAGCCTGAGTAGCTGAGGTCAGTCACACAGATGTTGCATGTTTACATGACTGAGACACCTCCTCAAAAAAAAAAAAAAACCTGAATACCCAGACTCACATGGTTGAGCTTCCTTGGTTGGCAACTCTTTGCAAGTGTTGTCATACATTGTTGCTGAAAGTATTAAGCAGTCCCTGTGACTCAACTGGAAATGGACAATGGAAGCTCCACCTAGTTTCTTCTGGACATAGTCTCATGTGCCTTTTCCCTTTGTTAATTTCAATCTGTATACTTTCACTATAATAAGTGATATTCATGAGTATAACATCTTTCTCTGAGTCCTTCTAGTGAATCACTTAGACTGAGTGAGGTTTTAGAGATATCCAAAGTAATAGCTAATAAATTTTGAAGTGGTTAAGGCCTCCAAATGACTCTTTATTGCAAAGCATAATATTTTCATTGAGAAAACACTCTTTATAAGTATGTAAGTATCTAACAAGCTAAAGAAAACACTACTAAATAAAGAATATCTTCAGTTGTATCTTTGCACTGAAATATTTCAGCCTAACACTCAGTTCAGAAAATCTTTCTTTGACAAATACTTTACAAGACAAAGCTCTTCAAATAAGTTGCCTCTGTTTGTGATTACTTTGAATATTTCACCAAGTTTAAGTGTCCAAAGTTATAGGTCTCCTTAATTTCAATTCAATATAAATGAGTCATTGTAACTTACTAAATTTTAAAAACAAAAGCCACATGAACAAATGCATAAAAAACATTTGACAAATCTAACACCTTTTCATAATAAAAACATTTGATGAAACATGATTCAAAAACACATGAAACACTCCTTTGAGAGAAGGAGAAGAGAAGGAGAACTTCATAAATTGATGAACTACATATATGCAATATCTACAGCATACTGAAAAATTTAACTACAGAGGTAGCATATGATCCAACAATTTCACTCCTAGGTATAAATTCCAGAGAAATGAAAATATGTGTCCACAGAAATACTTACACACAGTTCCAGTTCCACATTTAAGGAGCTTAGAGGTCACCACTACGTCCTAAGTAACAAACCAAATTGACTGAAAAAATAACACTCTTCTTGGATACGTAAAAGATGGGAAAACACAGGGCAAACTTGAAAAAATTTTGAATTCAACTGTCATCACAATTCATTAATCCATACATTTAATTTTGTGTTTGATTTCCAGAAATATGTGGTTAAAAAAAGTAATAGCTTATTTCAGGGCTTTCATGGGAGCCCTTGAATTTTCAGATGAAAACTTGAGCTGAGAGTTAACAAACCCAGGTCTCTCATTTTTCCTTCACAAGTGTTTCAGTTCAGTTCAGTTCAGTTGCTCAGCTGTGTCCAACTCTTTGCAACCCCATGGACTGCAGCACACCAGGCCTCCCTGTACATCACCAACTCCCAGAGTTTACCTAAACTCATGTCCATTGAATCAGTGATGCCATCCAACCATCTCATCCTCTGTCNCTGCAGTCACCATCTGCAGTGATTTTGGAGCCCCCCAAAATAAAGTCGGCTACTGTTTCCACTGTTTCCCCATCTATTTGCCTTATGAAGTGATGGGACCGGATGCCATGATCTTGGTTTTCTGAATGTTAAGCCAACTTTGTCACTCTCCTATTTCACTTTCATCAAGAGGCTCTTTAGTTTTTCTTCACTTTCTGCCATAAGGGTAGTGTCATTTGCATATCTGGGATTATTGATATTTCTCCCAGCAATCTTGATTCCAGCTTGTGCTTCCTCCAGCCTGGCATTTCTCATGATGTAGTTTGCATATAAATTAAATAAGCAGGATGACAATATACAACCTTGACGTACTCCTTTTCCGACTTGGAACCAGTCTGTTGTTCCAAGTCCAGTTCTCACTGTTGCTTCCTGACCTACGTACAGGTTTCTCAAGAGGCAGGTCAGGTGGTCTGGTATTCCCAAAGGGCACTCAGAACACTTCATCTAACACCAGGGTCCTTATAGTCATCATTACTATCAAAAGGTAAACTATAGCATCCACTCAGCTTTCACGGTACATGCTTCACCTGGCATTTCATCCCAGTCAAGCACAGGTGACACCTTGATTAATTATGATACCACCACATGCCAAGAACTACCACCCATTTTCCACTGGCAAAGAGCTCAGAATTTCACTCAAGATTAAAGGCCCAACAAAACCAACCCTAAAATTCCAGCTTTATGAGTATATCTCTTCTGGCACTACTCCTGATACCAATTCCATACTATTCTGAATCCATTCGGAAGAAAGAAACCACACAGTAATTTGAACAAGAAAAGTTTAACATAAAGAACCATTAGCTATAATGGGGGATTTGCAAAACAAGGCATTAGGTAGCTACAAGTAAAGAGAATGCTAAAGAGTATAGAAACAGCCAGTATAAGGAACAGTCACTTCCCTTAGGACTGAGAGAGAGCATTCAAGGGCTAAAAGCGAGACCTTGTGAATAGGGCACAGCCGTGGCTTACTGAATGACCAAGAAGTCACTGTGACACCATGCTAACAAAACTAGCAGGAAATCTATACTCTAAAACTTTGTGGTAGGTCTCCTTCTGTACTGGGGAGACCTCTTCATGAGAGATGCCAGAGGGAGCTTCCAGCCACTAGGGCTTCCGGCCACCATACAGGAGAGGGATACCAGAGAAGATGCAGACATGCAGGAGCCTGATGACAGAGAAAGCTGCACACACTGCGGAGGCTAGCCAAGCAAACACCCTGGAACCGAGAAGCAATATTTCCTGTGCAGCGGCTCTCCAGTACCTCCTACTGCCAAAGTTGAACACTGTTACAACTGGGAAAAAAAAAATTTAGAGGGCCCAGGTCCATTTCCACAGAGTAGGCAAAATGGATGTTTGGAACTGAGAGGCAATAAATTGACAAATTGATTCTGAAAGAGTTCATGTAGGCACCCAATCTTACATAAACTCTTTCAGAAAAGAGAAGAGAAAGGAATGCATCCAAATTTAATGAAGCCAGTATAACCTGATACTAAAGACAGGCAAAAACATTCCAAGAAAACTACAAACCAATATCCTCATTAAGAAAAATCCTTAGCAAAATTTTCACAAACTGAATCCAGCAATCTATAAAAACAAGAAAATAATATAGCAATAAGGGTTTATCCAAGGAATACAAGGTTGATTAAATATCCAAAAATCAAAAAACAGAATATATAATGTTAGTAGAATAAATAAATAAATAAATATGATGGTCTCAACTGATACAGGAAAAAAACACTTGATAAAATTCAACACCATTGATGATAAAAAAATTCCAAAAATAAAAGGGAACATCTGTGAACCAGTAAAGAGTATCCACAAAAAGTCTGCAGTAAATATATTTAATTGTGAAAGGCTAAATGATTTCTGCCTAAAATCAGGAAAAATAAATGAATATCTCTTTCAAAACTTCTATTCAACACTGCACTGGAGGTCTTAGTCACTGCAAGAAAGCAAGAAAAACAAATAAAAAGCATACAGACTAGGAAGAAAGAAGTAAAATTGTCCTGATTCACAGATGACATGATCATGTAGTTAAAAATTCTAAGGAATCTGCCAAAAGGCTCCTAAAAGTAATAAATTACTATAGCAAACCTGCAGAAGCGAAGACCTAAGTAAATAGATATACAACAGTCAGGTATCAGAACACTCGATATTGTTAAGATCTCAATTTTGTCACTCACCATTCTGAAGCAAGGCTTTCCTGTACCTGTTTGTTTACCAAAACACTCATTCATTCATTTCCTTATTCAAAAAGTATTCTACATCCCCAGCTATTACTTTACCTATTTGTCAAGGCATAATTCAAATCCTTGTTTCCGAAAGAAACTTCTTTGATGATTTCTCAAGACAAACAAATTGATGACTATTTATCATTATTTGTTCCTGTCATATGGTTCTTATCACATACAGCCTTTTTACTGAAGTTATTTAGATACAGCATTTTAGAGCAAAGAGAGACCATGTTTGGCAGCCGCCGCTATCATCAGTGTAAAAAGGCTTGTGAAGAATATACATGTAATGGGAGTGGTGAGGGTTGCGGCCAAGTAGAAAATATACGCCCCCTCTATTGTTTAGTCGCTAAGTCGTGCTCAACCCTTCGCAACCCCAAAGGCTGTAGCCTGCCAGGTGCCTCTGTACACGGGATTTCCCAGGCAAGGATGCTAGAGTGGGTTGCCATTTCCTTCTCCAACATGCCCCCGCTAAAGGCATTCAGAGTCACATTTTTCGCCCAACTGTGCGGACAAGCATAAGCACCTTAGAGTTTGGGTTCTCGGACATCGTCTGAGGTCCCACACCACCTCTTTAATTCACACATGAGGAAACAAGATCCTGGAGGGAAGTGGCTCGGTCAGGGTGTCTCAAAATTGTGGGTAGAAGCAGAAACCACCTGGTGGTCACATTCTTTCCGACCTTTTAATCCTCTAAGTGACTCGGCCTTGAGTGAAGGAGCTTCTCTGGGTTGGTGACCAAACACGTCTGGCGAAATGACTCAACGACACCCTCATCCCGTCAAGCTACCTGGAGGCCAGGCCCCGCTGTGAGGGGGAATTACGTCAAGCCGGGGCCTGAGGAGCTGAAGGAAACCAGGGCTGGGCCCTGGGAACCCGCGCTGATTCCAGACGCGCCTGGAGAACGCTGGCGAGCACATCCACAGGGAGCGGGCCTCCCCACCGCGCAGGGGCCTCCCACCTCCCAGGGTAGGGGGCCCTCTGCCCTCTGGCGCCCCCCTCAGCCCGCCCCGGGCGCCTCGCCCCTCGTCCGCCTCCTCAGTGTAGGGGGCCCTCTGGCGCCCCCTTCAGCCCGCACCAGGACGCGCTCTCCTCGCCACAGCCCCCTCGGCGGGCTTACATTGAGCCATGACCAGAATGCAGAAGAAAATCAGGAAGCAACGGACGTTGTTAAAACGCTGACACCAGGGGAACACCAGACAGCCCCAGCCGCAGGGCCCCTCCAAACTCCCTTTCCGGTGTCCGACTTCCGTCTTGGCGCCGTGCTGCGGGGCCCCGGCCTGGCCGCCTCCCTGTTGGCTGAAAGCGCCGAGCTTCAGGAGGCTAACCGGGAAGATCCTGAGGTGCGGGCGCTTGGGCCCGGCCTTCTCGGCCTCGACCGCCAGTGGCCTGGTGCTCTCGGAGGGCGCAGCTTGCTCGGCCTGTGACTGCGCCTGCCCCGGGGCCTGCACCACCTCCGGCTGCACCTGCACCAGGCCCCGCAGCATCGCGCTGAGCCGGGGCGGTGGCTGGTCTCAGCCAGAAACAAGCCTGCCGGGCCTGGAGGTCGAGGACCTGTTGGCCACCAGGGCCGCCCGCAACCCCAGCCTCCAGGGGGAACGTTTCTCCTTGGGCAGGAGGCAAACGTCCCGCGGGGAGGTTGGCAGTTGCTCCAGGAGAACGTCTGGGGCTGCTTCCTGCTTTGCTTCCACGTGGGGCAGGGGGTGGGGTGGAGGGAACGCTCGTCCTACTGTGTGTGTGGGTGTGTGTGTGTGTAACAGTCGTGTCCGACTCTGCGACCCCATGGACTGTGGCCAACCAGGCTTCTCTGTCCATGGGATTCTCCAGGCAAGAATACTGGAGTGGGTAGCCATGTCCTTCTCTAGGGGATCTTCCCAACCCAGGGATCGAACCCACAGTTTCCTGCTTTGCAGGCGGATTCTTTCCTCTCTGAGCCATCAGGGAAGTCCCCTCAGTTTTGCGAGATTCTTATAACTGTTCACATTGACAGGGGCCCCCAGAGGAACTCGGATAGAAGAGGTCCATTAGCGCCTTCAATCCACCAGGATCGAAGGATACTACTCCTTATTTAATACTTCCTCGTTAGGAGGCAAGGGAAGGGAAGTTCTGTTTAGTGATGAGACGGTGAAACCATCATCTCCTGGTTTCCTCACATTTATTTTATTCTGGTGTTTTGTGAACTGCGTGACCTCACTAGAAACAACCTGCCGCTGCTGCCGCTGCTAAGTCGCTTCAGTCGTGTCCGACTCTGTGCGACCCCATAGACACAACCCGCCAGGCTCCCCCGGCCCTGGGATTCTCCAGGCAAGAACACTGGAGTGGGTTGCCATTGCCTTCTCCAAAGCAAGAAAATGAAAAGTGAGAGTGAAGTCGCTCAGTCATGTCCGACTTAGCGACCCCACCGACTGCAGCCCACAGGCTCCTATGTCCATGGGATTTTTTTTTATTTAAGTCACTCAGTCCTGTCCGACTCTGCAACCCCATGGACTATGTAGTCCATGGAATTCTCCAGGCCAGAATACTGGAGCCTTTCCCTTCTCCAGGGGATCTTCCCAACCCAGGGATCANACTGCCTCAAAGAAGGAAAAAGTCAACACTCATCAAAATAAGTGATTCTAGTACATTTGCTTCTACTCAAAATACAAAGAGCCAAACTGAATGTTACCCCTGCTCTACCAATGACAATAACCAAAAGAAAAAAGCAAAAAGAAAACTAGAAATAATATTTTAAAAATTATCACTTTTTTGAGCCTATCAGAGAACTATATTTGCAAAGCAATCAGGTGAAATGACTCCAAGGATAACATACCTGGGAAGAAGGATGAGACTCACAAACTGTTTCACCTTTGTCAGAGTTTGAGAACCACTGATGAGAGAATGTGGCCATCTCTATAGATCCCTTTGAAATGTGGTATCAGTCCAGTTCAGTCGCTCAGTCGTGTCCAACTCTTTGCGACCCCATGGACTGCAGCACGCCAGGCCTCCCTGTCCATCACCAACTCCCGGAGTTTACTCAAACTCGTGTCCATTGAGTCGGTGATGCCATCCAGCCATCTCCCCCTCTGTCTGTTAAGAAAAAGAGGGTGAAGAGCCTCAAGGATAATGTTTGCTTATGACACGTGCCATCCTGTAAACTTTCTTCCCTCTCCTGTGGTCTTGATTCCTGTGCTTTGAGTGGTAAATGTGAACCATAAACCCTGAAATATCAAAGTCCTCAAAGAACCCAATAAGAAGTACACAATGGAAACCTTCTCCATACTTCTTACTGATTTGATGTTTTGGTCACAGGTTAGTTGAGAGAGTGAAAATGAAGTGGAAAGGGATGGATAAAGTAATGCAATGTAGGTAAAGACAGCTCCTGAATGGTGATATCAGCTTTCAGATTTACGTGAAGTATCAGCTTTCAGAATGCTGCTTGTCCTTACATTTAATACTAAAAATGATGTTGATGCTTACACTATCGCATAAAAACATACCATCAACACTCTGAGTGTTGAAAACAGTGAATATATCCTTTAGAACTCAACTGATCAACTGCCTTCACCCAGTCGCTTTATTTCTTTTTCCCTCCTTCTTTCCCTTTCTCCCTCTCGACTTGTTCTGGATCATTTTTCATTTGACATCAGTCATCTTTAGAGACAGTTCTAGACATCTAGCTCCAGAAACTTCAAGAGACTCACAAACTGTTTCACCTTTGGTATGGTAATCTCCACACAGATTATCATAAGAGTTGTTGAAATTTACCTTTATTTTATTAAAATTCCCAGGTAGTATTGGTTAAGGAGCTTTCTACTTTCCCTCTCTAATAAAAGTAGAATAGATCCCAAGCTAGTCACAAGGGGAATTCTAAAATTCTTCAGTGAAACTAAAATTAAAGCATAATAATCTTTTCATTGTGTCAATGAGCTTTGAGGTTAACTATTAGACCTTTCTCATCAGTCTTTATTTTGAGAATAAATACCATTTTATTTTCCATCCTTCATAACTTTTCCAAAGTTGTACAATTTTGACTTAAGGTATTTTTTTGAACTTCTACTTTTTTTCACATAATATCTTGGTGTTCTGTCTCCTGATATTTCTCATTTGATTCCAAAAACCACTTCTATGCCTTTCAAGTGTGTCATAATGGTAAATTATAAAAATAATAGCACAAGTTAGAGCTATTCAAATAGAACATTAAAAGTTGTTACTGTGCAAGTGACAGACGGGTTTCTTCTTAGATAGGAACATTTTTAACTAGTGATTTGAAAGTTATTTTCCAACAATGAAGAACATGTTTTCATTGTAGGCTTTTGGTTTACAAACAGATTTCAAAAAAAGGAAACCTGTCCATGAGTTTGTACAGAGAATTGTACATTTGGACACAGTCCATTTCACATTTCTGTGTGATCTTTTTTTCATAACTTTTATTACATGGCAAATTAAGTACAACCTGTATAAATTTAAAAATAATCAAAAATATTAAAAAAAAACATTCTGCTCTTCATAACCCTCAAATTTTGAACTAGGTTACATGATAAGTAAATATAAAATTCTTTAAATTAAGATAACAATGTGATGGAACTAAATATGCAGCACTGTATTCAAATAAAATATATTTAAGCTAATATATTTTAACAGAAAATAGTTATTATAATAAATGGAAAACCTACATCTAAAATCAGAGACCTAGATCAATATCTATCTTCCTTACTTATAAACATTGTCTTTGACAAGTCATTTAAATTCTCTTAACCCAAGAATCTTTATTTATAAAATGAGATTCTTTCTATACTACTTGTTTCATATGGTTGTTGTGAAGGTCAGAGGTGACAATACAAATTAAAATGAATTATAACTACAAAATATATAAATTGTAAATTTAAAAATAAATATTAAAATACAATGTTTAAGTAATTTAAGTTTAAAAATACAAAAAGAAAATGTTAACAAAATTACCACAATTCTTTCTTCAATGTCTACTACCAGGATTTACTTCTAGTTTAAAATAAAGCCTCATTATTTACCACCCTAAGATCTTAAAGGGTAAACTGCTTTGTTAGGATATGTTTCCATTTCTAGAGTCTAGGATAACTTGTTGGATTTTCGAAACTGAAAAGAAGGAGGGAGCCAAAAAAACTGTAATTTGTTGCCTGCCTACTCTCTATCAATCACTGTGCTAGGTATTTAGCATTTCACTCAGTTTTTCAGATATACTGGCTCAGGAAAGTTAAGCCTTTTGCTTAAAATATCACATGAAGCAGGAGGAAGTGTTTCTGTATTTGACCTAATTTCAAGGGTTCTTGACCAGGGGCTCTTTTGCCCCTGGGGTTCACTTGACAATGTCTAGAGACATTTTTGTCTGTCACAACTCAAGGTGAGGAGCAGGATTCTGCTGAAATTCCCACCATGCCCAGGAATAGCTTCCACAACAAAGAAGTATCAAGCTCTAAATGTCAATAGTGCCGAGATTAAAATGTCTTGGTCAGATTTCAAAGCTCATGCTCACTCTACCATGTAATGTTGAAAATAAAAGCTATTTCCATGTTTATTCCACAACAGTAAGCTGCCACACATGTACCAGGTTCAATCTTAGACATATTCTTTCTGTGTTTTGAGTCTGTTTGGGAAGCTCCATTTTAAGATCCCACTAAATTATCTTTTTATCCAAGCAGCAAAGAAGGTTTCTGGAAATTGTTCCTGTTAATCAGTCCAAGGAAAATGACTCGAGGTCAGAGAGCAAGGATGATTTTGAGAAAGGCTGGAGGCCTGTAACTCTAATCACATCCTGTCTTCTTCTCCCTCGCCCCCACCAAACAGCACTGTGTCCTAGTGAGAGAGGAACGCAAGCAAACACTAAAGGAGGTTTTCATGAACCTTTAGGGTACTGGGAAGCTCTGTAGAAGTATAATACCAAAGAGAGGAAAGAATACTATTCCTATTTGGAGTTGCTTCTTGGAAAATGAGGCAGCAACATGAAGAAAAGCAGTACTATGACTGAACCTGAGTTTGGGTCAGAAGAGCTTCATATTTGGAAGCAGATCACACTGGATCTTAATGGTGTTTAAGAATTTGTAGCTTCAAAATACTTTTATAGAGGTTTGGCAGCCAACAGTAGTTCTAGAGCTAGAAAAGAGAAGTCTATAAGGCCAATATTTGTGTATTCCTTGACTCTGTGAATGGCACCAACATCCACTCAGTTACAAGTCTTGGTGGAAAAAAAAAATCAAAAGTGTTAGTCGCTCAGCTGCGTCCCACTTTTGCGACCCCATGGACTATAGCTGTCAGTCTCCAGGCAAGAATGGAATTCTCCAGGCAAGAATACTGGAGTGGGTTGCCATTTCCTTCTTCAGGGGATCTTCCCGACCCAGAGATCAAACCCCAGTCTCCTTCACTGCAGCCAAATTCTCCACCATCTGAGCCACCTGGGGACCAGTCTTGTAGTCATCTGTAATTTCTTCTTCCTAACACCTCAAAACTCTTCAAACCCAGTGACAGAAGAGGATTT